CTTCCAGATTAACAAAAACAGCTGTTCACCACTGTAAAAAGAAACATGGATCTCAGAAGTAACAGAGGCGGGAAAAGCTCAATTCCTACATCTCACTCTCAGTCTTCTTTACTTACAGTTCCATCCCACCTGTACAGCAGTTGCCTTTTTCCTCCTGGAAAGCAGTTATTGACTTCTGTATATTGCAAAATGTGGCTGATCTCAAACAGCATAACTAGGATTGAGCTTACTTAGCACATGGATGGGAGACCACCAGAAATCTCACAGCAATTTTGACCCACATGGGCTAAAGCTCATAACATACCATTGTTATAAAACACACACATACACCTATATGACCTAGCTAGCCATATACAGGTAGTCCTCAATTTACAACCACTCATTTAGCAAGTGGTTGAAGTTATAATGGCGCTTAAAAAAACGTACAACCGTCACAGCATCTCCACAGTCACGTGATCAAAATTTGGGTGCTTGGTAACCAGCATATATTTAGGACAGTTGCAGCTTTCTGGTGCATCATGTGATTGCCATTTACGACCCTGCCAACTGGCTTCTGACAAGCAAAGTCAATAAGCTAGATTCACTTAGCAACAGCCTAGGAGCGCAATGGCTCAAGAGGTTAGGGCTGACTCGCGTTCAAGACCTGATTGCTGCCCTGGAATGGGGTGAGCTCCCATCACATGCTCCAGCTCCTGCTGACCCTGCAGTTTGAAAGCAGGCAACAGCGAGTAGATAAATGAGTACCACTTCAGTGGGCAACTTAACAGGGACATGAAATGAGCTCCTAACTGGGCATCCCTTAAGAAATGATGATGTCACTGGCTGTTCCATTCACCACAGAAGTGCTTCGGAGCTTCTGACCTGGAAGTATAGTATAGCAACAGCCTCATTCACTTAACAACAGTGATTCACATAACCATAGCAAAGAAGTTTGTAAAATCAAGCACAATTCACTTAACAATCCTTTTGCTTAGCAATGTAAATTCTGGACCCAGCTGTGATCCTAAATCAAGGAGTACCTGTAATTAGCTTGACAGCAAATAGTCTTATCTTCCTGGAGCGGCAACGACAGCTTCCTCCCTCACTTTCACAGCTAGAGCCATGTGTCATAAACAACTTCTAATGCTAAATGGTTTAAAACAACTTCTAAAAGAACAGGCAATTTTTTTTTCATCTGAGGCAATACTAAGGCGGGTAAGAAACAAAATGCCCCAATAGATGCAAGGATTCTGTGGAAAGAGAACAGATGTTTTGAATGCCCTCCGAACCTTACTGCTTCCCAAAGATTAATGATCTTGAGATGAAGATATAAGCTCTGCTGGTCTTGGAATTTGCTAATGGATAAAATCTCCACTTCCATGCTATATGGTGTGTTTTTGAAAAATAATTTGAATGTGGTTGCAAGATGCTATACATAGCTGTTTTATTAATTTATACATTATTAATTCATGTATTAATGGTTTCTGGTTGCAGTTGCCCAGTTTGAATAAAAGGAAACGTCCCTGCTACAAACTGTGTTTTTTGAAATCTGTTTTTTTTTTAACTGTTAGAAGACGCAGCTGTACAATTTCTGGTGAAGGCATCGCACACAGGCGAAAATTTGTGATTTTCTGCCTCATGAGGTTATGTTCAAGGTCTGTGCCTAATATTACTACTGTACCTAGATCAAGATCTTCCAATGCAGTTCTGATCAAGGAGTTAGCCTTTGACTTGCTTTATTTCCGTTTTTAATCTAGACTATCTACATTTAGGCTTATAAAATATGGGTGTATAACATGGCCATGCTCAGGTTTTATTAAGATACATTTCAATTCTCCTTCACTGTGCATAAGCAAAACCCTTAAGAGAACCTAGCTGCAGAAGTAGACTCTAAGTTCTGTCCAGTGAGCTGAGAAAAGTCAGATTTCTGTTCCTTTTGAGGGAACAGTGTTGGCGGCATTTCCTTACCTCGAGGAGTTAAACCAGCAGAGATATCTTGTGCAGCTCTCCTTACAAATGCGCACACACACATATGGACGCATATTGGAGTGTGAGACCCAGGAATTAGTTGTGACAGGAGATTCACGCTCCATGAGCACTAGATACCTGGTGATAAATGTGGCAGAAGTATATTGGAGGGAGGAGAAAGGGGCTTCCCCATGTTTCCTTTTGCAGGGCGGGTGCAAAACCAAGCTAGGAATAAGGAAGCAATCAGTGGCACCAGGCACTGCAAGTGGTCACAGTCTTTGAGAATGGCAGGAGTCTAGGGAATGCAAGGTTTTTTTCCTTTAGCAATACTCCAAGTTTCCTATCAGGAATATCCTTTACTGGCCCCCATTTTATGTTTCACAAAGGGAACTTGTAGTGACAAATTAAACCCAGCAGGCTAATTCACAAAGCCTCTTTATGGATTTATTTTCCGTCTTCCATTTTCTGGGGTGACTTCAATTTTTTAAAGGAACATACATTTGGTTTTGAAAGTTCAAATTTGCACCGGCACTGAAAAAAGAGACTTATGAATGTTTTTCACACTTATGACCGATGCAGAATCCCCATGATCAAAATTCGGGTGCTTAACAACTGGTTCATATTTGGTTGCCCGGGGTCATGTGATCACCTTTTGAGACCTTCTGACAAGCAAAGTCAATGGGGAAGCCAGATTCACTTAACAACCACATTACTAACTGAACAACTGCAGTGGTTCACTAAACAACCATGGTAACAAAGGTAGTAAAATGGGGCAAAATTCATTTAACAAATGTCTTGCTTAGCAACAGAAATGTTGGGCTCATTTGGGGTCGTAAGTTGAAGACTACCTAGAAAGCAATTGTCTCCATCACAGTTCCACAGTTCCACCATAGTTGCACACACACTGATGCTAAGAAACTTAAAACACATTCTCTTGTTTTTCCTAACAAGCAACACATAAGTGATAATATGATTCATTGTTTCTGCTTTGACTATAATCACACAAAATCCATATTGTACATATTTTTGCTTTTATTCCACCTTTATTATTTTTTACAAATAACTCAAGGTGGCAAATATATATAATATTTTTTCCTCCTATTGTCCCCACAACAACCACCCCTTTTGAGGTGGCTGGTCTGAAAGAGAATGATTGGCCCAAAGTCAGCCAGGCAGCTTTCCTGCCTGAGGTGGGATTAGAACTCACTGGCTCCTGATTTCTAGCCTGTTGCCTTAACCACTAGAACAAATCAGCTCTGCAATTTGGTTGACTCTAAAATATTTGGTTGATGTGGTCACTAGTGCTTCTTTCTGTAATCTCTTCATCCCCTCTGAGTGCTTCCAAAATTTTATCTTTATTTTTCCTGGCAAAGTTCCTGCCTCTTAAGAGTTTGCAGCATGACAGACACAAATCAGCAGATTATTTCAGGGGGAAAAAAAATGGAATACTAAAGAAAACCCATCTGCTGTCCTGAACACTATGCAATTTTTTTAAACATAATTTTTTTTATCCAGAATGTGCAAACCATATACTAGTTTCTTTATTGCAAAGTTGAAGTAGTGGACCATTTGGATGCTTCCACATAAGAAAGCAGTAAAACAATCGCCTTGCTTCAAGCACTAAATTTGAAAGGTTCCAAATAGATGGATGGAGTCCAAGAAGTTGTCTTCAGTTTGTAACTTTCTGAGTGCTCCATGTGGTTCTTTTCATTTCCTTACCGTAGATCATTTATTGAAGGGGGGGGGGAAAGAGGGAGCTGCACAATACTATAGTTTTGTTACTAAGACCACCTCCACTTTTCTTTGCTCTTTCCTGAAAAGTGTTTTGTTTTGCTGAAAAGCAACATCACAATATAAGAATTGGTATTGGATAGGTGATTGGATGTTTGGGCTGCATTTATTTATTTATTTTAATGTATGTCCCACTTTGCATTCAGGAGCTGAAGGGTCCCTTCATAGATTTCCTTCTAATTCTCCCCATAACAACAGTGTTGTGAGGTGGACTAGCTGAAAACAAAATAACTACAGTAATGCAATGTCCTTCAGTGAGCTCCCTTCCAGAGGGTGAATTTCTACCTGGGGCTTCCTTCTCTTTTTATTAACTTCACTTTATATGACATGAAGAAAAGCTCTGTAGAAAAGCTCTACTGCTGGGGAAAATGGAAGGAAAGAGGAGAAAGACCAGCAGAAAGGTGGATGGACTCAAGTTACTGGAGGAGTGAGGGCACGCTTGTGAGATTTGAAACACTAGGTTAGGGACAGATTGTCATGGAGAAAATCTATATACAGATAGTCCTCGATTTACGACCACAAATGAGCCTAAGATTTCTGTTGTTAAATGAGACATTTGTTGAGTGAGTTTTGCCCCATTTTACAACCTTTCTTGCCTCAGTTGTTAAATGAATCAGTTAGTCATTCTGTTAAGTAAACTGCCTTCCCCATTGACTTTGCTCGTCAGGGCAGAAAAGGTGATCACATGACCTTGGGACCCAGCAACGGTCATAAATATGAACCAGTTGCCAAGCATCTGAATTTTGATCACATGATCATGGGGAATGCTGTGAAGGTTTTAACTGTGAAAAATGGTCATATGAAGTAGTGCGATTCAAATATATGAACAACTGGTTCTCTGTGTGGATGCCACTTCTGGAAGTCCATTCTGGGCCTGGGCAACAAAAAATTAGCTACCGGTTCTGCCGAAGGGGTGCGAACTGGCTGTATCCCACCACTGGTCATATGTCACTTTTTTGAGTGCTTTTGTAACGTTGAACGATCACTAAATGAACTGTTGTAAGTTGAGGACTATATCTGATCGCTAGGAATTGAAAGGCCTGGATAGCACACAATCAGTTATATGGGCTGAACATCCCACTTTAATCATACTGTGGGTGTCCGAATAGAGTCCAAATGCCTTTAAGACAAAGATTTTCTAGTGCCAACAGGTCAGCCGCCGATGTCCCAGCCGCCGATCCCGTTCTTTTTTGATCTATTCTATTCTCCGCAGGACGCCTACCAGTGGCTGGCGGGGGCACGGGGTTCCTTTAGCTGCTATTCCACCCCGGGAAGTCAGCTTACTTTAAAGCCGAGGCCAGACGGGCAGCAGCGTACCAAGTCCAATCAGCCCCCCCCCCCGCTAGAAGCGCAGCCATCTCTCTTTGTTGGACGTGGGCCACACGCGGCACTAAATAGGCTTGACGGGACAAAATATTCAAATTAATTTGGGACTGAGCGGTGGCCTCCCGAGCTGCTTCCCCTCCGCTGGCGCTCCCGCTCTGTGCACCGTTCACCGCCTGTAGCGGCTGCGGCCCCAATCTAAGCCTGTTGGAGAAGGAATAAATCATCCGCCGCCTCCGTTTAAGCAGGGCACTGATTGCCGGTGTTCGCTCACCGGGGAAATCAGGTGAGTGCCCCGCGCGCTCCCGCGGTCTCGTCGGCGTTTAGCCGAGATTTATTTATTTGATTTTCCAGGCGCTGGGTTGCTTCCCCCTCAAAAGGCCTCTGGGGAATTGCAGGCCTCGCAATATTAATGTCGGCGAGGACGGTGCCTCATTAAAGTGTCAGGCGGCAGTAATTCCTGCTTTGCTTATCACTCCCCCGGGAAGCCGAGCGCGCCGCAGGGATAAACCCTGCGGGCTTTTGCGGAAGGACGGACCGAGGCCCCGCGGAAACGAATCAAAAAGCAAGTCAAAGCCAAGCGGATGGTTTTAATGTTTTTATGGTCTTGGGGAAAAAGGTGCCTCCATTTAATTTTTTTTTTAAAAAATTCTAAATGTTGCTCATGTTTTATCCTCCCTGTTGCTACTTCCTGTTGAATAACTTGTAATCCCAAGGGGAGTGAGTCCTTTACCGTGTGCAGGAACGGTCGTCTGTATTTTATTATTGTACCTCCCATTTCCAGACTTGAACTGAGGTCCTGGAAATGACACTCATCTGATGTGGCCTAAGAATAGGTGTGGGTTTGGTGGATGAGAAAGCAGCACTTGGCTGCTGCAGAGAAATCAGTGCTCTCACCCCCGCAGGTTAACCAAGTGGCAGAGCATATGGAAAGAGTTGCTATAAACTCCAGTATGCTTCTGATGAATGTGTGGATTGCTTTGACACTGGGAGATAATAATAACACATCTGGAGTACCATTTGAACACCACTGGCATTGACAAAATCACTATCAGTCAATTGCAGAAGACAGCTTTACTTGGAACAGCTTACATCCTGCGGTGATACCTTTACTCCCATCAAACAACATCTGCCTATATCAGGTCCTTGGGAAGGATTTGATAGGTGGATAAAAATGCCAAATCCAGACTAAAAATGTGGCTGACTGTGTAATGAACCATAATACATACACAGAGCCTGTGACACTGACCCATATTGTACAATGAAGACTTGAAGAGTTAAGGTAAAAACAGCTCTAGGCTTTCAAGTTTAATTAAAGAGGTGTTTTTTTTAAGATGGTAGAGTGGACTTGCTTTGGCTTTTCTAGCTGGGTTGGTATAATGAATTGAGCTGCCAGCATTTTCAGAAAACTGTTGAGTTAGAGCAGGCAGTATCAAGGCAGTGCTGCTCTTTTTGGAGAAGTCAGTCCTTGTAAGAGCAAATAGTGGCTTTTCAATAAAACATGTGTAGACTTTAGTGCCAGGTAGAATTATGATCCTTGCATTATGTCCTCCGTTTACATTTCAGTCTTTTCCCCTTCTAGATTCCCTTTTGCAGAATCATTCCATTTTGCCATAGCATAAATGAGAACATTCTTTTCAAAGTTTTGAAACAAAAAATGGCATTAGTGTCAGCTTGGTAGAAGATTGTAGAGGGATAAATTAACATTTCCATTCCCAAATCCTTTCAGTTTACTTGAAAGTAAATCCATCTGAATTTAGTGAGGTTTCTTCATGAAAAATTGATGTAGGGAAGCAACCCAGATGACTAGGGTTTAGAATTAGCGCTCCAGCAAAATTATCTTAAATAAAGCTGAGATATTGGCTCTTCCCCCCCCCCCACCTCTCCTTCCCAGGAGATTCACCATGTCTTCAGATACCTTGGCCTTTGCAGCTAGCAAAAAATATATATGCTGTAATCACTTTTCCAAGACTGTCTTCACCTCCCTCTAGAGGCTTGAAATGTGTATGATATGGGTGAAAATTATGACTCTGAGATTTTAACATAGTTTGGGAGCTACTAAAATAATGTTGGGCAATAGATATTAAGATAAACAATTTGGAGATTTGTGGAGTGGGAGGTTACTTCCTTTGAATAGTTTGTCTATGTAATGCTCTATAGTCAATTTTTGTGATAAAAGCCCCATACCTTCCATCTATGAATCTCTTGAATGGATGCATACCTGTTTTGGTTGTTTGGGGGATTAGGTTTTTTTTCCAGTAGTAACTGCTGATGAAATTTTATCAGATCCCCTTTTTCTTTTACATTCTAATTTAGGTTTGGAATAGTCATATGTATGAATTAATGGGCCAATAGTGAAAAAAATGGTATTGTTTGAAGGATGTGGGTGGCCCCATGAAATCAGCACACAAAATTATAATCCTGGATCCTGTGTATGCTCAGGTGCATCTGTGTCTTCTTTTTCTTCTGAATTGACATCCTTTCTCTTAATTTGCTCTTCTCTTGCAATAACATGCTGCTTCACATTCCCTCCATCTCTTAAGCGTTCACTCCCCTGAAAAGGGCCTATTTGCATTTTGATATGTTCCTGACCTACCTTTCATTTTCTGGGCAGGCAGCTTTGATTAATCATGTTCACTAGGGTGCACTAAGCCATGTGGCATGCCAGACTCACTTGTAATTGAAACCTGGGATTTGGACATAACTTGGTAGGCTTGGCTAAAATCAAAGAGAATGGCCAGAAACAAGGCTTTGTGAAAAACCAAACGCTACAGAGGGGACCTCCTCTTTTTTCTATGTCTTCCTAAACCAAATCCCGGCATTTGAGCCATGATAGAGATTAGAAAACTCTGATGGGAATGCCTTCCTGGAATTACTTCTAACTGTGTCAAGCCCAAAAACAGCATGTGGAGTTACTTCCAAGTGGTTACTTGATTGCTGTTTGCTTACAGACACAACTGTTGCCAGACTAAAGCAACTATTTGCATAACTATTGTTCTATGACAGTGATGACGAACCTTTTAGAGACTAAGTGCCCAAACTGCAACCCAAAACCCACTTATGTCTCGTCGGGTGCTGGGTGGGCGTGACCCATTGGGTGGGTATGGCCCATTGGGTGGGCAAGGCTGCGGTGGTAACAGCAGACCGGGTGGGACTAAAAAGTTCAATCAATCAATTCCAACTTTGCAAGAGATTTTTTTTTCCTGCAAGAAGTTGAAATTGATTGATTGCTTGAAACTTTTTTTTTTTTTTTTTTTTTGCACAAGGCAGTGGAGGCCTAAAGTGAAAAGGTTTTATAAAACCCAAATGAAGGCCTAGGACTGGGGCGATGGCGCGTGTGCCCACAGAGAGGGCTCTGTGTGCCACCTGTGGCATGCGTGCCATAGGTTCACCACCACGGTTCTATAAGCTGCTAGGGCAGTGATGGCGAACCTTTTAGAGACCGAGTGCCCAAACTGCAACCCAAAACCCACTTATGTATCGTCGGGTGCCAGGTGGGTGTGGCCCATTGGGGGTGTGTGGCCCATTGGGGGGGCATGGCTGCGGTGGTAACAGCAGACTGGGTGGGACTAAAAGTTCAATCAATCAATTCCAACTTTGCGAGATCTTTCCCCCCCCCCCCGCAAGAAGTTGAAATTGATTGATTGATTGAACTTTTTTTTTTTGCACATGTTGGCGGAGGCCTAAAGCGAAAAGGTTTTATAAAACCCAGCTGAAGGCCTAGGACTGGGGCGATGGTGCGCATGGGCACGCGTGTCATAGGTTCGCCACCATGATGCTAGGGAGAAGGCAGTCTTTGCCCTTGCCTACCAGACATTCCAAGCTCCACTGCCTCTTTGCCTATTGGGAGGCAACATTTCCCTCCTGGGACCATGCTACATTCCACCACAGAATGTCAGTCTCATGCAGATTTATTATAGAACCCCCTCTTCATCCTCATCTGGTTATTTTTAAAAATATTGAACAGCACAAAGCAAAGACTCCTAGTAGTCTCATAAATTCCTTCTTGGTTAACCCAGAGCGATTGATAACTGTTCTTTGAACATTGTTGTTCTTCCAAGTGCTGATCCACTTCACAGTAGTAACATCTTCTAGCCCAGTGGTGGCGAACCTATGGCATGTGTGCCAGAGACGGCACTCGGAGCCCTCTCTGTGGGCACGTGCGCCATGCCCCGGAGATGGCAACTGTCCTCTTCAACCAGCCGTCTGCTAACTCGCCGAGATACCACATGGCCGGATGCATCCCAGCACCCATGCGCTTGCTAGCCTCTGTGTGCAGAGGGCGATGGTGATAGGCAGCGGCCACCCCAGCCCCTGCCTCGCCTTGCCCTGTGACATGGCACCCCCACCCTGCCTTGCCTTGCCTGGCCTCACTCCACAGAACCAGCCTCCTGCCCACCACCCCACCCGCCAGAGACCCCTGGATCTCCCCCAACCCTGTCCGGCCCCCACAGGCATCCCTCCCCACGAGCAACATCGGGCTGGCCACGCCCACCATCTGTCATGACCGCTGTAGCCACGCCCACCCAGCGGGCCACGCCTACCCGGCACCCGGCAATACATAAGTGGGTTTTGGGTTGAAGTTTGGGCACTCGGTCTCTAAAAGGTTCGCCATCACTGTTCTAGCCTATATGTTATTGTCTCGTTGACAAGATTTTTATGGGAACACATATCCATACAGACAGAAACGTTTGGTCTGGCATCACTTACATCTTTACTAATATTTTTCTGTCTTCTCAAAGGAGAGTTTCTTGCTTCTTCCTTGTCATCACCAGTAAGAAGGTTAACAAAAACAGGCTTGGAGATTTGTGGCAGCTGTGTGTTATGAAAGTGAGACTTTGGGTGGTGGGGGTAGGAGGTTTGAAGAAAATTAAGTTCAGTCTACATTTTAATTCAAGCTGTGAATAGCTATGGGATCTTTATGTCATGTGAGTATTGTAATTGGTTGATACATGCATTTATGAGTCACACAGTTATAATTTTGGATACATATTCACATCTGATCAACCTCGAGAGTTTCCCATACAATTTAGCCCAATGTTCCCTCAGTTTTATGCCCTCCAGAAGTGCCATCTCTGAAAGTGCCAATTTTGCTTATATTAATCTGATTCTTCAGCTTTTTGTGGCCTATAGTAAGCTGTAAGTTTACTCATGTGAAATTCTTGCTGACTGCAAAAAGGATTAGGCCTTATAAAATTGCTTATCTGTTTAGCCATAAATTAGTTTATTCACATAAAGACACTAATGCTGTAATTCCTTAACTTTCTTGAGAGTGAAACCCCACTG